TTTGTCACTGTGGCATTTCCCATTCTCATAGCACTTTGTAAGCAACTCCGTTATAATGCTTCACGGTGTGTTATAATTTATTTCTTTTATGTGTCTATTTACTTCCACTAGACTGAGAGTCAAAAGCTGTTTTCTACTCCTTACTTTTCCAGTAGCCTTCTGCTTAAGCCCTGGTACTTACAAGGCCTGTGGTTTTGCTGAGCTGTGTGTACTTCAATACTTAAACTTTGCTAGGATGCAAGTCTTTAACTTCTGAGTTTCCATTCTTTCCTCTTCCTCTCTTGCTCTCTTACTGAGAACTGGGAAGATCCCACAAGAAAGGATCTGTTCAGTCCTCAGTAAGAGAGTCTTTCGAGAATATTACCATCTCAACATCAGTCAGAATGGTGATTATTAAAAAGTCAAGAAATGACAGATGCTGGTGAGGTTGTGGAGAAATAGAAACACTTTTACACTGTTGGCGGGAATGTGAATTAGTTCAGCCATTGTGGAAGACAATGTGGTGATTCCTCAAAGATCTAGAACCAGAAATGCCATTTGACCCAGCAATCCTATTGCTGGCACTTGGTGATTTATGGCCTTAGAATTACAAAACTGTGGCCTTGGTATTTTTAGCAGCACACTGGGACTAAGGAACAGTGGACCCATATGTTCATTGCAGAACTATTTGAAAAAGCAAAGATATGCAATCATTCCAATGCCCATTGATGATAGGCTGGATAAAGATGTGGTATGTATATATACACCATGGAATACTATGCAACCGTAAAATTGAATGAGATCATATCCTTTGCAGGGACATTGATGGAGCTGGAAGCCATTATCCTCAGCAAACTAATGTAGGAATAGAAAACCAAACACCACACATTCTCACTCATAAATGGGACTGAACTGGTGAGAACACATGGACACAGGGAGGGGAACAACACACACTGGGGCCAATAAAGGGGTAGAGGATGGGGGGAGGGGAGGAGAGCATCAGGAGAAATAATTAAGGCATGCTGGGCTTAATACCTAGGTGATGGGTTGATACGTGCAGGAAACCATCATGGCACACGTTTGCATAACAAACCTGTACATTCTGCACGTGTACCTCAAAACTTAAAATTTTTTAAGATGATACATTTTATCTATGTGTATTTATTTTATTTTATTTTTTTATTGTACTTTAGGTTCTGGGGTACTTGTGCAGATCATGCAGGATTGTTGCATAGGTATACACATGGCAAGGTGGTTTGCTGCCTCCATCCCCCCGTCACCTACATCTGGCATTTCTCCCCATGTTACCCTCTCCAACCTCCCTACTCCCTGCTGTCCCTCCTTTGGCCACCCCCAACAGACCCCAGTGTGTGATGCTCCCCTCCCTGTGTCCCTGTGTTCTCATTGTTCACCCCCCATGAATGAGAACATGTGGTGTTTGATTTTCTGTTCTTGTGTCAGTTTGCTGAGAATGATGGTTTCCAGATTCATCCATGTCTCTAGAAAGGACACAAACTCATCATTTTTAATGGCTGCATAGTATTCCATGGTGTATATGTGCCACATTTTCCTTGTCCAGGCTATTGTCGATGGACATTTGGGTTGGTTCCAGGTCTTTGCTATTGTAAACAGTGCCGCAGTGAACATACATGTGCATGTGTCTTTATAGTAGAATGATTTATAATCCTTTGGGTATATACCCAGTAATGGGATTGCTGGGTCAAATGGATCCTCATTAGACTCTAAATGCTTGAGGATAGATATTCAGTACTCTCCTGTGTACTCAAACACGTGTATGTTGGAATAGTATCCCAGCTTGCTACCCTATTCTTCTCATAGTAAGTTCTAGAATTTCCTGATGTTCTCTCTTTTTGACCTCTGCTTCAACAAATGTATTAATTTAATCAGTGCAATTCAAGTTCAATTCATCAAGCTGTTATTGAGTGTCTCTTACTTGCCAGTCACTGGACTAGGATTTGGGGGTTGAGATGAGTAAAATGGCGCCTCCATTAGAGGTGTTTCAGATTTAGTAGGAGAGACAGATGAGAAAACAGAACTTCTCTAGGATGTGGTTAGGGCAGTGATAGAGGTGGACACATTATGGGAGCCCAGAACAGGGCTCCTTTTCCTCTAAGAATCCCATTGTTCCTACTTTCTAACAGGTGAACAGGGGAGCCAGCTGTCATTCCTGCCTCAAGGAGTATTTGAACAGTGGGAGTTAGGAAGCAGCCAGTGGCCAATGCTCATCAATTAAAGACCCAGCTGGTAGCCCTCCTGCACTGGAGGAGAGAAAAGAAAGTTCTGAGGGCCAGGACAGCACGAGGCTGCAGGCTGCACGGCCCTGGCCGCAGCGGGGTTGGGAGAGTTTGGGTAGCAGGTAGTTTCAGCCAAGGACTAACTTGGTGGCATGGGCATACATCATGGCTGTGTAAGACCCCGCAACAAATACCATGTTTTTTCTTCCTTCTTTCAAGTTAGCTTTGCTTTTGTTCCCTTTCCCACGTCTCTGACATTTGCTTCTCTCCCGAGTTTTTATTTATTTCCTTTCCTGTTTATATCCCTACATTTTCTTTTACTGCTCACTCTTCTCACTCTTCTTTTTCTCTACCATGTTTCCCCTCTACATTTGAGCCTTCTTTGCCTTTTAATTTTAGCTTTCTGCCTCTACCACTGTGTTCTGAAACATACCTGTTAAATTCAGGGTTGGAGAGGAAATTTTCATTTCCAGCAGGGCTGTTTATGATATGAAAAGTGTGTCTCATGTGTATCTGAGTATCCTAGGAAACAGAAGTTTAATTTCTAACTCATATTCTGCATACTGTGTTTAGAAGATACTGTCATGGAAGGAGAGCCTCCCACCCAGGCAGCCCTGGAGACTGTGCTGTGCACCTTACCTTTATGACAAGAACCAGCAAAACAGTCATCCCTTTTCTTGTGATGATTCTCTTATGTCCACACCTATCCTTGAAGTTTCTCTTTATCTGTCCTCGTTCTCTTTTATTTCTGTCATATTTTTCAGTTCTATTTTCCATGTTTCTCCTTGTTCCTTTTTCTCTTTAGTCCTTCCCTACTTATTAGAAATTTTATGACCCCATCCTTAATGTCTTTCTTTGGCCTTGGAAGGTAGAGTCAAAAGCAGTGTGGAAGACACCACTCCTCCAAGTCACCCCGGTTTCCAACAATGGCATGGAAGTGTGAGTCACGAGAGATGGGGAAGATTCGGAAACCTTGTCTAGCTCTTGAGATTCTTTATGAGTAGGATTTCTTTCTGCTTCTTATTTTTAGGTAGCATGAACGTAGACTCAGAGAATCTTAAGGTTTACAGGAATCTCTACTGGTTGTTGATATAACCTTCAGCCCATGTAGGAACCCTCTTTACTTCCTAGTGATGCTCCATAGGCGGTCTCCGGATACCTGGAGTTTTGGGAAGGCTGCCAGCACATGAAGCCGTCTGCTTGGCTGTTGGCAGCACCCCTTGTGTCAGTTACCACTTGTGATTCTGTTGTCCTGGTCTGTATGATTCGTACCTAATGATTGTATGTCTGCTTCCAAGGGCCACAGGATGTGCACTTTCTATACTGTTCTCTTTCTGAGATTGAAGATGTGTTGAATATTGAAGGCATTTCTGGTACCTTCTTTAATACTTGAACTATTTCAGAGAGATTCCATCGGAAATAAAACAAGCCATTCTTGCCACCCTTTGACTATAGAGGAACCCAGTTTTCTGAATGCCTCATTTCCTGATGGTTCCACGTAGCAGGGATTGTTCTGGAGGGGTTATGAGGGAGAAACTTCCTTTCATTCTTAACAGAAAGAAGAATAAAATGAGCAAGTTTTAAATGAGTATTTTATTAATATTAGTAAGCTTTGCATTAGTCACAATGTCTGTGTGCACACTGTAGTTTGAAGAACTGAAAAATATGACACACATAGAAAAAGAGAAAGAGGGGAGAGATAAGGAGAAACTTCAAGGATAGGTGTGAAGATAGAGAACCACAGGAAAAGGGATCAGTGTTTTGCTGGCTCTTGTAATAAAGGTAAGGTACACAGCACAGTCTTCTGTGCTGCATGGGTGGGAGATTCTCCTTTCACGACGGTGTCTTCTAAACACAGTATATTGTAATATTAAATACCATGTCTTTTTATTTTTATAACTAGACCACGATACCCCCCATTTTAGAGATAATGGGAGTGAGGTTCATAGAAGTTGAGAGACTTGTGTCGAGTCACCTGTTCTCACAGAATGAGTCAGACTTAAACTCTCTTGTGCTTTTAGTCTTTTGCTGTGTTTTTCAAAAATTCATGTATGTCCTTGTCTCTCTAAAGTCCCTGCAATGTCATGAGATTATATGAAATATCTCCCTGGTGTAAACAATCTAATAGAATTGTGGATTTGTGTACGTGTATGTGTGTGTTTCTTTATATGGCTGTGGAATGTGGAAAAATAGAAACAAAGAAATCCAATTAGGGTCAAAGAGTGGTTTTGTGCAATTATAAAATACGCTATGTGAAGACCATTGAAGTTATTCTCCAGTTGTAAGGATCAGTGTAATTGATTTGTTTGGTAAAAATTCTAAGTGTCAAGGTAGAGAGGAGTTAATCCAGAGAAATTTCATGAAGGACATAGACAGGGGAACCTAAGAAAATTTTAAAATAAAAGAATTCAAGGATTTGGTGGCTTGGAAAGAGGAGGAGGAGTTTGAAAGGGGAAGAGAGGAGAAAGGGGACAAGGTTTGGGGACAGGAGTGGGACAGATGTTGCTGACCTTGTGTTTTGCTCGGGATTTGGAACTCGGGTTCTGGTATGATAAGTTTTCCTTCTTTGCAAAGTGAAACCCAGATGGCTAAATTTAATTCCACTTGGAGCCACTGGTGATTCACCCAAGCTCAGGTGCGCCCACATACAGCTGGCGTCAGCGCTGTGTGCTTTCCAGGCTGAGCTTGCCTCAGTCCCACTTCTTGCATGGAAAAGAGGGGAAAGCCAGACTGGTAACCTTGACCCTTCTGTGTCTCTGTCTGCAGCATCCTGGCCACTGCGGGAACCCACTTCAACACTCATGTGGACCTGAGGACCCTCCGGGCTGTGCGTGTCCTGCGGCCCTTGAAGCTCGTGTCAGGGATACCTAGTGAGCATCTGCCATTCTTTCTGCTCTGCTAAGAACTTACTTGATGTGTCCTCAGCTGGATCCAGGTCTAAGGGAATTTGGGATAAACAAACAATATTCCTCCTGGGAAAAAGCCCCAGTGGTAATAAATAGTGGAGTTGGGGCACTCTGGCATAACATTTTACTTTTAAAGTTAACTTTTTGCAAATATAAAAGGTAATGGAAAATATATACAGAAAACGTGGAAAGTAAATGAAAAAGAAAAGCATTCTTTACCTTTTCACTCAGAAATCACTTCTGTTAAAATTTCAGTATTTTCCATTTTTCTCCTGTGCATTTTAATATAATTGAAATCATTATGTATATTGTAGTTGTATATCCTGAAATAAGTATTTTCCTAACCTTAAAAACTCTTGGCTGGGCACAGTGGCTCACGCCCGTAATTCCAGCACTTTGGGAGGCTGAGATGGGCGGATGGCTTGAGTTCAGGAGGAGTTCAAGACCAGCGTGGGCAACATGATGAAACCCTATTGCTACAGAAAATACAACAACAACAACAATTAGCTGAGCATGGTGACTCATTCCTGTAGTCCCAGCTACTCAGTAAACCGAGGTGGGAGGATTGCATGGGCTTGGGAGGTCAAGGCTGCAGTGAGCCATGATAACGCCACTGCAATCCAGCCCCTGCGACAGACCGAGACACTGTCTCAAAACAAAAATTCTTACATGTGTTATGATTTATTTAGCCATTTTAATGTTTTATGTTGCTGGATGACATAAAAAATAAAAATAGGCTATTTCCAGTTTTTCTCCAACTATAAATGTACTGCAACAAACATCTTTTTACTTAAATCTTTATTCAAATCTCTGACTGTTCTCTTGGCTAGAATCCTAGAAGTGCAATGTGTGGGTCAAAGGATATAGCATTTTCTGAACAGTGCTTGTACTCACTAAGCTTCCCCAGCAGGGACTGAGAGAACTGGGTCTGAGATAGAGCGAATGGGAAGATGAACTTTGTCTCAGCTCTTGTGGACTTTACAGCCTAGCAGAGCTGGGCCTAATTTCCTTTAGGAAAGGAATACACGTAAATAAACTTAATCTATCAGAGGAATCCAGCAGGCAGCATGGATGAAACCAGTGAGGGAATGAAACCCATCCTGCCCTGACAGATGGTGCTGAGGGATGGCTGCATTGGTCACTCTGTCCTTTCTTCTAGGCCTGCAGATTGTGTTGAAGTCCATCATGAAGGCCATGGTACCTCTTCTGCAGATTGGCCTTCTGCTCTTCTTTGCCATCCTGATGTTCGCTATCATTGGCCTGGAGTTCTACAGTGGGAAGTTACACCGGGCGTGCTTCATGAACAATTCAGGTAGGGCCACTCTTTTCTGTCTTCTCCTTTTCCCTTCTTCCCTCTGTTAGCTGGGGCTCATTTCAGGGCTCTTGGAGGCTCGTTGGAAAGGCATGTCCTATTCCAACCCTGGAATTAAGTCAGAAGTTTCTAGTCAGGAGCCTTTTGAGGCACAACCAACCTAGACTAGAGATCCTCACTTGACGTTAACATTGCAAAGCAAATACGTAGTTGGAAGATTTCAAATAGATGGTCTTGGCTCTCCTATCCCACGGTCAAGGATGATGCAAATTAACTGCGAAAGCCATCTGTCTGAGCCAGGCATGGTAGCACACACCTGTAGTTCTAGCTATTCCCTGGAGGCTTAAGTGAGAGGCTTATTAAGCCCAGGAGTTTGAGGCCAGCCTGGAAAACTAGTTAGACCCCAGTCTCTCCCTCTACAAAAAAGCCATCTGTCTGAATATCTGAATCAATACTCCTTGACTCTTTGTACAGTGGCCTCTGACCGAATCAATAAGTACTTTTTGTATAGTGGCCTCGCTGGCCCACAGGCCGCTGAGATGCGAGAGTCCAGAGGCAGAGTTGGGTCCCTTTGGATCTGTGGAGACATTTTGCCTTCATCCTCCTTTTCATCATCTTCCTCACTTTCTGTTTTGACCCACACATGGTGTGGAAGAGCCGAGGGAGCTCTGAGCTTGGCTTGCAAGCGTGCTTGGGAGATTGGTAGGGTACACAACCCCAAATTCTCATGTCTTTGTATTTCATTTGTTCTTTTCAAGTTGAGTTTTGAGTATCCTAGGACAGGAGATGGGAGGCAGGCTGAAGGATCCCAAATAGTCACCATGCTTTAAATGAAAGAACCTTCCAAGACCACCTTCCACTTTGGAGTTCTATTTTATATTTTTATCTTTTATTCAAGAACAGTCCATGCTAGAAAAACAAGGTGTTAAGACCCCCTCTTTGGGAGGCTGACGTAGGTGGATCACCTGAGGTTGGGCGTTTGATACTAGCCTGACCAACATGGAAAAACCCTTTCTCTACTGAAAATACAAAATTAGCTGGGTGTGGTAGCGCATCACCTGTAATCCCAGCTACTCGGGAGGCTGAGGCAGGAGAATCTCTTGAACCTGGGAGGTGGAGGTTGTGATGAGCCGAGGTAGCGCCATTACACTCCAGCCTGAGCAACAAGAGAGAAACTCCATCTCCAAAACAAAACAAAACAAAACAAAAAAACCCCCTAAAAGGACTGTAGTTTAATAACTGTCCCTAAGAAACCCTGGAAGAACTCAGGGCTCATCCTGGAGTCTGAGGCTAGAAAACTTCACTTTGCCTTCTCCTCTCCTCAAAGTGTTCTATACGATTCAGTCCTCTAAATTCCTGTGGTACAGCAGGTGAGGATAGAGGATGAAGCTTGCAGAGAATGGGGGACCATGTGGAGGAGAGACTCCATCTTCAGGAGACTGGGAAACATTGGGCTGAGCAGGTGATATGTGAGCTGGGAGGCGCAGAGAGTCCAGAGAGGAGAGGGAGCCTGAGACAAAGAAGGGCAGGCCTCTTTCCATGGGGAATGGAATTACTTGCCTGTGGCTTCCTGGGGTCCTTTCCAGCTCCTGTGAATCACCATGTGATTTATCCCCCATCCTCCAAATGTGTCTGCAGGTATTCTGGAAGGATTTGACCCCCCTCACCCATGTGGCGTGCAGGGCTGCCCCGCTGGTTATGAATGCAAGGACTGGATCGGCCCCAATGATGGGATCACCCAGTTTGATAACATCCTCTTTGCTGTGCTGACTGTCTTCCAGTGCATCACCATGGAAGGGTGGACCACCGTGCTGTACAATGTGAGTAGAGCTGGCGGCGGTGGGGGACTGGGGAGGAGGAGGAGGGAAGAGCCCTGGACTGAGGCTTCTGGGGTTGTCTGGTCCAGCCAGTTCGAGGACAGCGAGGGCTGTAGATATATGTGTATTGGGGCGGGAAGTGAAGACTCAACTGGGACAAGCCTTAGCAGTTCATAACCTGCTTTTGTCTGGCCTCTTGCTAAGTACAAGTATACAGCTTCTTAATACAATGAGGAAATTCCATCCTATGTTGGATAGGTGAACCCGTTAGTTAAGTCAGATCAGCTTGATAGTTATAGAACATGTTGGTTGGACACGGTGGTGGGGTATAGTGAAGGGTGCTAATAATGTATAATCCTGGCTACACAGTAGAATAAGCCAGAAGCTTAAAAAAGTTTATCACCCCCTCAGGATCTGGGAGAATTTACTAAAAAAAGAATGAAAAGAATTATACCAACTGGGCTCCTTCCCAAACCAATTAAGTAGGAATATGTAGGGATGAAGGCCTGTCATTGACTTTTCGAAAAAGCTTCCTATCTGATTCTCACATGTAGCCACTCTCAGCAACTACTGCATTACATGCATGTGAAAACCGTGCTTCATTGTGAGAGTCACCAGGGGCTCTTGCTGAAAATTCAGATTAACAGGCTCCTTCTCTGGAGATTCTAATTTTGTATAGTTTTGTATAGTTGGTGAGCTGTGCTTTTTTTCAAATGCCCAGGTGATTCATATGATTAGACGTGTCTGGAAGGTTCTGAGTTGGTGCATAAGACAAGGCCGTCTAGCTGCCTGTCAGGAATGTTGGGGATTCCTGCATGGGGACAGAAGGTAGACAGTGATTATGAAGTCTCTTCCACCGTCTAGAGTCTGATTTTAATAAGTTATCAAAGGCAGGTGCAGAGTCCAAGATCACAAATGAGAGCTGGGTGAGGTATGTGGTTTGATGCACGTGAATCCTAGGTGGGTAAGGCAGTTGGGGCAGGTGCTGTTGAAGGACTGTACCCTTACCTGCATTCCGTCAGCCCACTTTGGAAGGATCATGCCTCTTATGTATGCTCCACCACCTGCCTTTACCTTAAGGTGTCCTCTGTTGCCTTCAGTTCCTCTCTAGACCTTTTTAGCCTGATTCTATCTGTATAAAACTCATTAGGTGGGACATAGGTGGGTTAGACAAAGCACCCGTTAGAAGGAGCTTTGGATATAGTTTATACTGGAGGGAAAGGAAATGCTGTGTCTCAGAAGAAACTCTACTAGACTATAATGCCCAAAGAGCAAGGACTGTATAAGCCCTGTGCAAGAAAGTACTTAGTAGAGGTCCATTGCTAGCCTGGATCCATTCCCATATAGGATGAGCAAGGCAGGACTGAAGCTTTGCAGATAAGAGTCACAGGCCATTATCCTAAAGCTCTAAAGGGGAGTGAAGAAGTCCCAAGGACCGGCTTACACCTAGCAAGCCCAGGAATGAAGTGTGACCCCGAAAGCCCTGGAGGACACTCTGCAGTTCTCACCAGCTGTGGGAGGCAGCAGGAAGGAGGGGAGGGAGGCAAGGTTGATGAGTGCAGTCACTTCTCATTTGAGATGTAAAGGTTGTCTTGAGGCCATACCACTCAAATTAGCCAGGTGCCTCTAGAAATTACAGGACTGGCCCTGTAGTGGCTGGTGTCACTTGCAGGGCATTGAGAGTGATGCATTTCAATTATATGTGTAGACTCACCTAAGTGATGTGCTAAATGCATTGAAAGCCTGAAAGGAGAAGTGTCGCATTTGAGGATACAGGCGTGATTGTTGGTCCTCTTTAGCCAGGATTCAGATGGTGCTGAGAGGAGCAGGAGCTCAGCTGAGGAACCACTCATTTTTTCTGCATTAGTTTCTTTGCTCATTCCTTCATTCTTTCAGTGTTTATTAACTGAGCATCTATTACATGCCAGGCACTGTCCTAGGCACTAGGGAAATGGGAAGAAAAAAGTGCCAAGATTCCTGCTATCATAGTGCTCTCTTCAAATCCCTGTCTCTCTCCAGTTACCTGTCAACCATAGGTTTAGAAGTTACACACAGGCGGTGATCTTGCTCCTTTCTCTAGTTTTGCTCACGAAGGAAAGAAGGAGGGAGGAGAGGAGATCGAGTTGCAGATCCTCTGAAACCTTTCATGGCAAGGGCATCCAGGGCCTGCAGATGCAGCTACTCTTGACTTTCAGTCTATCAGTCATTGAACTTCAGCTTACTGAAGGTCTCCTGCTATTCTGCTGGCTGGATATAGGGCTAGGGGGACTGTCACCCAAAGACTGTCTGCCTGTTTGGGCTGTCTGCTACCTGTTTGGACTGTCCCTGCACACACGTGCACGCACACACACACGCGCACACACACATTTATATACACTGGTTGTATACCATGAAGTTAACTATGAATGACTAGTCAGCTTAGTATTATAAATACATGTATAAATATATGTGTGTGTTTCTGCATAAAGAAAAATGTCTCACTAAGCATTACCACAACCACCACCAATAAGATGCAAATATAAATATAAATGAATTGATTTCCTTTCTACCACTCTTCATTCTGGGAAGGCCCAGTTCACCCAGCTGCTGGATTTGTTCATGCGGAGCACTAAGAGAAGGGGAGCCCCTATTTCCCAGCCCTATGCTCCTTCTATTCATGGTGCAACAGACATGTAAGCTTTATTGTTGTCATTTAAATCCAAACCAGTAGGAGAATCTTCAAGCCTGTGGGCTCAGTATAACCTTTTTATATACAATGTAAATGCTTCCCTCATCTTTGCACAGACTCTTCCTAGATGCCTCCCTATGACCTTGTGTTGCTCTGCCATTGATTACTATTAACTTCATTTGCATGTGACTTTTCTGATTATAATGAGTTATTGTAATGGGGAGGGTTCCTATTGTCAGGGCAACCTGGAGGCACCCTTGCTTCATTTGGTCTCACCCAGATGCCAGCTGCTTGGTCAAACTCCAACTATATTGTTGGCTCCCCTCCCTCCTGTGGCAGAAGGAATGCAAAACTGTCTGCAGTTCTGGCTGTTGCTACCTGTTTGCCCTGTGTCTCCAAAGGTCTCCTCAACTTACAAACTCTCTTCTGGACTCTGGGTTTACTCTGAGTGAGATGGGAAATCAGTGGAGGGTTTTGAGGAAAGGAGGGACATGACCTGTCTTGTGTTTGAAAGTGGATCCCTCCACTGCCTTTGATAGAGCAAAAGTAGTAGCAGGGAGTCAAATCAAGGTTATTGCAAGGATCTTAAAAAAATAATGATAGAGGCTTGGGCCAGGGAGGTAGCAATGGGGAGGAGGTGGAAAGTGGTTGGATTCTGGATATATTTTTCAGTTGAGCTCATGGGATTCTCTGATGGATTGGATATGAGTTTGGGAGACTGAAGCAAGAGTTAAATTGCCATTAACTGAGAAGAATGTGGGGAGGAAGAGAAGAATGGAGCTTGGATGTGTTAAATTTGCCGTGCTCATTTGATATGGTAGTATAGGGCAGAAGGTGAATAAATGAGTTGAGGGTAGAAGGCTTGGCTGCAGATATAAATTTGGGAGGTTTCAGCATATATATGGTAGAGTTTTGAGACTGGCTGAAACCACCAAGGAAGTGGATATAGATAGGGAAGAGAGGAGATTTCAGGACTGAGTTCTGATGTTAAGGTGAAGAGAAAAACAGTTACAAGCAAAGACTGAGAAGGAGCAGCAGGGAGATAAGAGGAAAATCAGAAACCTGGTGTCCTGGGGCCAAGTGCAGAGAGTGCTGTGGACGGAGAAAGTCGAGGATGATCAGGTCAGTTCTCTGAATAAGTGTTTTTCCTGTCATAGGATTGTTCAGTTAAAAGAAGGTCTTTACTAGAGTATCTTGCTAATCATTCCTTGGTCATTTGTGTAAATTACATCCACCGATTCTCTTGAATTTCCATTCCTATTTACTCTTTCAAAAACTCTTACCTATATGCTCTGCTCATTTGAATCAAATGCTTCAGATGGGTCGAGGAAGGTAAAGGCTGAGAATTAACCACTGAATGCCAGGAGCAGTTTGAGCGGAGTGGGAGGGATTTAAGAGAGCAATGGAAACAGCATGGAAGAAATACCACTTCACGCTGATAGGAATGATCCATTTGAGATAAAAATTATTGTTGATGAAGGAGAGGGAGGAGAATTGGGGTGATTTCCTCGAACAGGTGTGTGTGGTGTGGGGAGGTCTAGACAACAGGTATAGGACTTGGCTTGGATGGGAGTTCTAATCATTCATTCATAGTACTAGGAGTAGAGGAAGAACAAGTGGCTGCAGAGGCTGGTATGTGGGTAGATGCGGTGTTGGAAGCTTGTGGATATTCTCTTCCTATTCCTTCTATTTTCTCAATGAAAGAAGAAGTCAGGTCATCAGCTGAGGGTAGGAGGAGGAGAATGTTGAAAGTTTGAAGAGAAGGTATAACATCGTCTTGCAGAAGATTGACGGAGTAAGTGGAGTAGGGAAATGTACTGGGTTGCTGGACAGCTTTAAGGACTCACTTGGGGTTAGTGGTGATAACGTTCAAATGAGACTAGTGAGCCTGGTGTGCTTTCCTCTGGTCAAATTCAGCCACGGAGTCTCAGGTGGGAAGCAGGTGGAGAGTTGGCTTTGACGAGTGTAGTTTTGCCAGGTGAGCACAAAAAAATGCTAGAAGATGAGGAGAGTGAGTGTAACAAAGCCATGGAATTTGAGCGGATAAAGAGCAAAGAGGTGGGGGAGAGACTGAAAAGAAAGGGGAGTACAGAGTAGGGGATTAGAGACCCTTTTGGAAATGTGACTCTTGAATCTGCTGGACAAATTCAGTCTGTGGAGTAAGTTAAGAAACCTGTCTGCTGCATGGAAGTAGGGAGTGGGTTTTGAAACCAAATGTTCTGATTTCTAATTTGGTGCTCGAACTGCCCCCAGTGAAGGAGAGCGTGTGCACGTGCCGCACATGTGCAGAGTAAGCTGTGACCGGGTGCCTGCGCTCCGCTGGGCCTCTATGACA